AACTCACAGACTTGCCAACATTCCTGGAAATTGACTCTGCTCCCCCCCTCCTTCCGAAATGACTCTGCTAATCCTTGACCCACCCCATTCTTGATTCTCGCATCCCATCTAGTTTTGCTGCCAAGCGGCTTTTTCGGTGTCGTACACGGAATTCCGTTCACTGCAGGGACACCATGGTGTGAGGTTCAAACCCCCTCGTTGGGTTGCTGAAATGTTAAAAACAAGGCCAGCCTCTGAGTTCGAACAGAACTCTTCATCCACCGGAATGGGTATAAAATTTGAGGGCAAGAGAGGAAGCTCAAAAAAATGGGTGGGATGTTCATGGCCCTTGATTTCGAATGCCCATTGCAGGGAAGGCAGCCTAGAATTTACATTGTTTGCTGGGGCAAAGTTTTCTAAAAGTTACCAAAACATTATTTCTATGGATGGATCACATGTTTTTTAAAAAAATCATCCACTGGAAGCTTAAGCCGAGTACAGTCATAATGTAAGACTTCCCTGTCTGGTCAAATACGTGCACGGTGACCACAGTGAAACAAATTAGATTTGTAATTATTTGGATTATTTTTTTAAAAAAATTGCTTTGTTAGCCTTTGGTTACCTCTTCTGCATTTGTGTAATAGGGTGAGGTATATACTGTCTATAATTTGTAGAATTTGAGTTGGGGGCAAGAGTCGAGAATTCAGCAGATCTCTTGAGCGGCTTCTCTTTTCACACATTTTTAAAAAATACATTTTATTGGTTTTTCAATCTCTCTACATTCGGTTCATGCTTATCAAACATCGTGTTACGTGGGTTGCTTACAATTATGTTTTTTGCATCTTAAGTGTCTTCCCAAATTGTCCCACCCCTCCAATTCCACACATCTTCCGATCATTCAAACCGTTTTTGTATGTATTTTAGGATACAGTATTGGCTATTATCATAATATGACCCTCATAGTATACAATGTTTTCAAAATCCTCTAATAACATATTTAATAGAAGTCACTCCAGTTCCAAATCTATATAATTTGAAGTAATTTAACCGACAAACGTAGTAATTTATACCAATGATAACTGAGTAAGATCTTAACATATAATAGATATTAACTAGAGCATCTTATACAGATTTTCTTTGTATAGTTGTTGTTGTTTTTAACAAGCCTCTTATCATTTCTGATGTGTGGTTTTAACTTTCTAGTTTTAGATATTTGTAATTTGCAGTTTTTGAGGTACAATTTGAGATGCTTGGCTCTGGAAGATTTAGCTGTGTTTTTTCTGTAAATTGTTAGTCTCTGTGGACTGTTGTGAGGAAAGTTCTGAGTCACTGAATAATCAATAACTTCCCCAATCCTAGTCCTTACCCTGGTACAGAAGCATTACATTTTTGGACTACAACACCCAGAACCCCCTGGCTGGGGGATTCTGGGAGTCGTAGTCCAAAATAAGGGTCACATTTTAAAGTCCTGACAAAAACTAGAACGAGACATCCAAGGAAAAAAGGTGGGGGAGGGTAAGAAAGCTTTGCAGAAAGATAATATTTGGGGGCAGAGCAGGAAAAAAAATTGATCCCCACACACACAGCGCAAGGAGGACCAAATGTGAATAATGGCTCCAGGATGCTGTGGATGATGGAAATGGGAGAGACGGGAAACAGAGGTTGCGATTGGAGGAAGATGGAAGGGAGTATTATTGTGAAAGGATCCAGCTGGCTGGAGAGATGTGAAAAATAAAAGGAGATTTTTTAAAAATATATATATTTAAAACATATATATACATATATAGTTAAAAGAAAATTTGCAAGATCACGTCTTCAGTGGCAGCATTTGCTGAACCCAAAGGCAAAGCCTTTCAGCAAACTCATGCCAGGATGCTTTGTTTTCTGACCGCCTGCCGATCAGCATCCTGCCCGCCACCATCCCTGGGCCGCCGGCAGGCTCTGTCTGAAAGGCAGGCTAAAGGGTTATTGTCCCTGCCACAATACCCTGGCTCGGTGGGAGGGAGCAGGACACACAAAGGCTGGAGAGAAGAGTAACCCTTTTGTCGATGAAAAACGAATGAGGTGATGATGCTGAGTCTGGCCAAAATCCAGAGGAGAAGAACAAGCCCGTTCCAAAATGTGCAAGGTTCATCCTTGAAGCTTGGAAATACGAGTGGTTTTTTTGAGATAACCAGTTTCCCGAATCTCTGTGCAGCACAACCACTGGAGAACCTTATTATTCTTGGATTTCAGAGGTAGAGCTGAGCCACGACAGCTCGCCACAGGCGAATAACCTTCTGGCGGAGGTGTGTGCTAAATTGGGAACGGCCTCGCATATAACCTGTACTGTTTACCAGGACACTCCTCCGCCACCGGCTATGTCTATCGGCGTCTTAATAGAGCAGGACAGTTCCTTATTTAATCCCGGCACCGGTCCTTTGACTGTGCCAACTCTCTTGGGAAATAAAGCATAAAAGCTGGCAGGATGATGGGTGCAGTGGGGGGGGGGAAGCTTGTTTTTAATAGAGACTCAGAGTTAAGCCTTGGGACTCAGGATTTGGTACCCAAAACTCAACATCCCTGCTTCTCATTCCTGGATATCGAAGGAGTCTTTCAGAAAAAAACACACAAAATCGTGTAGCTGAGTGTCATCAACTGCACTGGATGGGGCCCCATGGAATCAGTGGGGATTTGGTGAGTCAACTCCTCTTGATTGAAATCAAGTTCCATTGATTCAAATAGGCCTACTCTAACTGCAGTTTACTAAAATAAGTCACAACTAGAATAGGCCTCTTAGAATCAATGAGACCTACAGAGTTGACTTACCCGTTCCCCACAGATTCAATGGGGCCTCTTTCGAATGCGCTTTGCCACATTAACTAACAGGATTTCAGCCCCCTAAGCTTCAGTTCTTCCTTTAGATCAGGGGTCCCCAACCTTGGGCCTCCAGATGTTCTTGGACTTCAACTTCCAGAAATCCTGGCCAGCAGAGGTGGTGGTGAAGGCTTCTGGGAGTTGTAGTCCAAGAACATCTGGAGGCCCAAGGTTGAGGACAACTGCTTTAGACCCTGCATTGCTCTTGTCATTTCCGCGTCTGAAACCTGGTCTCAGTTTCCCTCCCTTTCTCCGCTTTCTCTCTCTCTCTGCCCCCTTCTTTTTCTGCCCCCCAACGACAGCATCACAAATCCCCATTTCTACATGGCGGTGCTGGAGAGATGTACTAGAAAGATGACTATCATCTGCAGTTCAGGGGAACTTCTAATAAGATCGGTCCAGTCCTTAAGGCAAAAGTCTAGAAGACTTTTCCTAAGTATTTATTTATTTATTTTATTTATCCCCCGCCTATCTGGTCGATATGACCACTCTAGGCGGCTTCCAAACATGCAAAAATACAACAACATGAGGTGATGTTGTTTATTTTAGCAAATAAAAATATCAACAATATACAATAAGTAGGACATTTAACTGAATCAAATGACGAATAATATATTCCCGAAGCGTTTCATGGCCGTAATTTGTTATTCGTAACAAATTACGAATAATCTGTGGTTTTTTAATTTATTTGTCTTATGTAGACACAGCCTCCCCCAATAAGAGGACTCCATTTAGTCATTATTCCACCTCCAGGTGGTACAAACCCTCTTTGCTGTTTTTGCAGCTAAAAATAAACCCGTAAGACTCATAAACTTTTCCTTAATCCCTGGAGGTCTGAGAGGGGTTTTAAATGGAGTGGTCGTGCTCTGTGGTTTGAACTGGTTTTAATGTTGATCTTAGTTACCATTTTCATATAGGACTTGTTTAATTCTCTTTTTCTAAAAAAAATATTTTGTAAACTTACTCTTTTTAGCTTTTAAATACCGTTGTAATGACGTCAGCCGCCTTTTGGGTCCTTTTGGGGAGAAAAACAGGATACAAACGAATGAACAAACAAAATGGTAGGACTGGGAAGGAATACCCAGTGTCGTGTAGTGGACAGAGTGATGGATTAAGACTCAGGAGGCCTGCGTTCGAATTCCCACTTGACCATGGAAACGACTCCTAAAACTTAAAACTACTCCTTAAATAAAACGACTCTCTTACCTCAAAAGTCCTATTAGGGTCGTTGTAAGTCGGTTCCAACTTGACGGCATGTAACGTAATATAAAAGGTAGGAAAATAGACACGCTTGGCTCTCCCTCCATCCCTCTTTTGCGATTTTTCCCCCCACAAGTAAACGAAAGGAGAGGGTCCACACCAGATGGAGGAAGGAGTTAAACGACTAAAGGCAGTTAGAACGATCACAGCTTAATGAACAGCTCCAGATGGATGTAGTTTCCATGTGGCGTTTGATCAGCAAATGTCGCAAGATAAATAGATGTAGGTACACACCGATGGGCTTCTGAGAGGCATTTGGTATTGTCCAGCACTAATCACAAAGGACGCCGTGGACTTTTAGAACAAAGCAATGATACCGTATTTTTCCATGTATAAGACTATACTTTTGTCTAAAATCCTTAGACTGAAAATTGAGGGTCGTCTTATACACGGAAGTGGAGGGGAAAGCAGGGATCAAAGCGTTCCTGCAGCGCTTTGATCCCTTTCCCCCTACACTTGCTAAGTCCCACTTACTGTATTTTTCGCACCATAAGACGCACTTTTTCCCCACAAAACAGGGGTGGGTGGGAAGTCTGTGCATCTTATGGAGCAAAGAAAACAGATTATATTTTCCTGTTTTCTTCTCCTAAAAAATTGGTGCATCTTATGGAAAGGTGCGTCTTATGGAGCGAAAAATACGGTAGATTTCTTAATTTTGGGTTAGAAAAATGGGGGGGCGTCTTATACATGGGAGCATCTTATACACGGAAAAATACGGTACTTTTTTTACTCAAAAGGGAGGGGTTTTTTCTCTCTCTCTCCCCGCTCCTGAAACCAGAAACAATCTTCTGGAGATGTCCACCTCTGGATTTTGAACTCTTTGCTATAAAGTGCTGCAGCCTTGTTCACATCCTGCTGGGTTCCCAGCCCCCTTTTTGAGATTCTGCGCCTTTCTCCCTTCACAGCATTTCCAACAAGGAGCTCTCCGAACTCATCGAGAAGCTACAGAAAAATGCCGACCAGGTGGAGAAGAACATTGTGGAGGCAGACACCAAGATGCAGAACGTGAGTTTACTGAAGTGGCCCACCTGGTCCCGTGTCCCCCCCAACATGGTGGTGGTTTCTGGTTTTGGATAAAAGTAAATATTTCAAGGGTTGTATACACTGGGGAGCCCGGTTCTGTAACCTGCCATTCCTAGCCAGTCCTAACAAATCCCAAGAGATCTGAGGTTTCTCTGGTAAAGAGAAAAGAAGTCACTGATGGAGTACCCTCAGCAGTTGCGTTTATTGATTTATTTAAATTATTTTCACCCCGTTTTTGCCCTTGAAAAAGAACCTTTTTCTTACTTTCTTTCTTTTAGTTTCTTAATTAAGTTATTGACTTATTTGCTATACCTTAAAAAGACAATATTTAACACTAAAAACAGGATGCATACAAATGTTTGAAAAAAAGAATTAAACAACCATCTTTGTCTTAAAAAAAATGGTAAACGGAATCCGTACCGAAAGCCCATTTCAAAGCAACAGAGCACAAGGATCCATTTCACTGTACCCAGAGATTTCTCCTTTCCTCGCTCTGACCCATGGGATCCCTTTTGCCCTGTAGTTTAGGAAGTGGCGGAAGTTTGGTGTGGGTTGTTTAGTGGGTCCAAAATGTCACAACCAAGTGGTTCACTGGGGCTGGTGACAGGGAACATATCGTTCTCCTATTCCGGCATCTCCAAGGGCTACCGATCCCTTCCAAGGCACAATTCAAAGCGGTGGTCTTCACCTATAACACCCTAAATGGCTTGGATCTAAGCGATGGGAATGACCGCGCGGAAGTTTGGTGTGGGTTGTTTAGTGGGTCCAAAATGTCACAACCAAGTGGTTCACTGGGGCTGGTGACAGGGAACATATCGTTCTCCTATTCCGGCATCTCCAAGGGCTACCGATCCCTTCCAAGGCACAATTCAAAGCGGTGGTCTTCACCTATAACACCCTAAATGGCTTGGATCTAAGCGATGGGAATGACCGCATCTCCCATGTGACAGGGAACATATCGTTCTCCTATTCCAGCATCTCCAAGGGCTACCAATCCCTTTCAAAGCAGTGGTCTTCACCTACAACACCCTAAATGGCTTGGATCAAAGCGATGGGAATGACCGCATCTCCCATTGTGAGCTGGCTCAGGTATTAAGATCATCAGGGGAGGCCCTTCTCTCGGTCCCACCATCTTCACAGGGTGACAGGGAACATATCGTTCTCCTATTCCAGCATCTCCAAGGGCTACCAATCCCTTTCAAAGCAGTGGTCTTCACCTACAACACCCTAAATGGCTTGGATCAAAGCGATGGGAATGACCGCATCTCCCATTGTGAGCTGGCTCAGGTATTAAGATCATCAGGGGAGGCCCTTCTCTCAGTCCCACCACCTTTACAGGGCTGTTTGGTAGGGACACAAGAGAGGGCCTTCTCAGTGGCTGCTCGTAGAGACTCTGGAACTCCCTCCCACTGGAGTCCAGCCTGGCCCCATCTTGGCTGTCCTTCTGCAAGCAACCCAAGACCTTGCTCTTCAAGCTTTCCCTGAGCGACTGCCTGCCTGAGTGGGTTGTTGTTGTTGTTGTTGTTGTTGTTGTTGTTGTTGTTGTTGTTGTTGTTGTTGTTGTTGTTGTTGTTGTTGTTGTTGTTGTTGTTTTAATCGCTTGTTGTGCCATGTTGCTTTGAATGTGTTAATTTATTTTTATTTATTATTAGATTTCTGTCCTGCCCTTTTAGACAAAGTCTACTCCACGTTCTCGGTGTTGATTTTGTTTACCCTTTCTCGCATGCAATTTATTTGGTTCCCTCTTTGTATCTGTATACTCACCATTCATAGCTTTTATATTTGTCTCTTCGTGACTTGGGTCCTTCTTTAGCAGAAAGGCAGGGCAAACATATTTTAAATAAATAACTAAGAGACGTGGGAGTCCGGGTTGTGGGCGTGGGACACTTTCCGCACTGTTGAATTCTGCTGTTGTGTAAACTTACTCCTTCTTTACTTGACGCCACTTAGGACCTACACAAGCTCAAGGCGGGCCAGCCCGCGGAATACAGGGACTACACCGCCGATAAGCTGATTGACTCCGATAAGCTTCTCTACGTCCTGGATGGAGATGCAGCCATCGCCCGCCACATGAAACACCCTCAGGGGGACATGATCACAGAAGAGTGAGTCCAGGGTAGCTGCTATGGGATTGTAAGGGCCATTTTAAGAAACTCTGAAATGGAAAGGGCCAAATGTCTGGATAGCTCAGTGGTTTAAGGCCTCTGCTTGTGGAGCCAAAGGTTAGGAGTTTGATTCCCCATGGTGCCTCCTTGACGGGCTGGACTGGATGACCCCACGGGGTCTCTTCCAGCTCTGGAATTCTAAAATGATTACTTTTCAGATGATGGTGGTGGTGGTTAAATGGGGAGTTCTGGTTTGGTTTTCAAGATTTTGAGGAGGAAAGTCGGAAGCCTTGCGGAAACGGCTCTGGAATGGAAAACCGTTGTTTCCCGGGCCTTTTTAGTTTGTGAAAATACAGAATTTTTTGTAACAATGATCTAAAAATGATTTTTTAAATTATTAATTTTTAATTCATTTCTTTTTTTTTTAACCTTGGGGAATACGGGTGCCTCTTGGGGCTCAATTTAAAAAAAGTTCCGATTTGTTAGGTTAATCATTAGTAACGCATTAAGTATCTGTCACCCTTGCATTTTAAAAAATAAATTAAAATGATTAAGGCTTCACCCCAGGTGTCCGTCCCGCCTTGAGCCACCCAGTTGAATCAAGTGCCGAAGAGCAAAGGCAAAATGTACGCAGATTTGATTCATTCAATGGGTCTTTTCTGGTTGGGACGAGTAAATGGATTTAGGTCTCAAATTAATCCAGAGTCACTCCTGTATGTCTCAAGTTAAGAAACACATTTTGGTACGGGGAGGGGTGTCCATTTCATTGACAGCCAGACTGCAAGTAGACAGAAGATGGCAATGCTCCCTTTCACCTCACTGTGGTTCGGAAACTTAACTGTGGTTTTTCTTTTGCTTTCTTGGCTTCTGTAGCATCCGGCAACTGAAAGAGAGAGTCGGGAACTTGCGCGTGAAACACGACCAGATCTACAACTTCACCCCGCAGGAAATTGAGCCTCAGGTCAACTGGTCCAACGTGATTGATGAGAAGCAGGTACCGCGATCGCTGTCGGCGTTGACTTTAAGAGACTTCTTTGGTGTTTGTTTGGTTTGGAAGGCCCATTTTGTCCTGAGACGTAGACTTGGGGTATTGTAGCCCAAAAGACTAAGAGGGAAGGTTGGAAATCTTCACAGCTCCCTGAAACTCGGAAGCTAGCACCGGAGGGCGGAAGCTGTACGAGAACCTTTCTCCCTGGTGGGCTTGTTCAGGGAAAACCGGATTAAAGCAGATGCTGATGGCTTAAATTAAACCGCAGAAGCCTCTGTGCTGCAAGGTCAGAAGACCAGCCATCGTAAGATCGAATCCAAGTGACGGAGTGAGCTCCCGTCGCTTGTCCCAGCTCCTGCCAATCTAGCCATTCGAAAGCATGTAAAAATGCGAGTAGATAAATTGGGACTACCACGGTGGGAAGGTCACGGTGGTCGGTGTCTAGTCACACTGGCCACATGACCACGGAAGATTGTCTTTGGACAAACGCTGGCTCTGTGGGATGGAAACGGAGATGAGCACCGCCCCCTAGAGTCGGACACAACTGGACAAATTGTCAAGGGGAACCTTGACCTTTACCTAAATTAACTTGCCATGAATGTCTCGACAAAGCAGAAATCCTCTTTCTCGTTGGATGTTTGCTGGGTTAATGGGCTCATAATAGCCAGGAAAAGAAAGAGAGAGAGAGAGAGACTGAGAGAGAGAGAGAGAGAGAAAGAAAGAAAGAAAGAAAGAAAGAAAGAAAGAAAGAAAGAAAGAAAGAAAGAAAGAAAGAAAGAAAGAGAGGAACAAGTAGCTAAGTCTCTTTCTGCTGTTGATTTTGCTTCATTTCCTACTGCTTCAACATCCAGTTGTTCTGCCAAGTTTAGCTTAACGAGTGCCCTTAATGAGTTTGCATGGAATTGGAATCAGTGCACATTGGCCATTAAGGCAACTTTGCGGGTTCCTGTTCTCCTATTTTGCATTGGCTGTTGCAAGTTTGAGAAACTTGGCACTAACCAGATTTCCTCGGCCACCAGGAAATCTTGAACGGCAAGGGCTTCGGTACCGACCTGCCCTCGGTCAACAGTCAGGTGGAGGAACACAACATCTTCCACAACGAGGTGATGGCCATTGGCCCCCACATCAGCAAGGAAGGCGACAAGGTATGTCCGCTCTCCAACCTCTGTTTCCTAATCCTTCGATATATAGCGGAAGGAGAGGTAGAAGGGAGGTGAACCTCCATTTATCTCTGGATGAACCAAAGGCAGACAGAGATCCCTTGGTAGACCCCGCGGATGGAGAAGTTCATTTTTGGAAACACCTCCTAGAATCTTTGTGGAGCTGCAAGGAGGTTTTATGGCCAAAGAACCACCTTGTCAAATGGCGTTGGTTGCAACAAGTCAACCTGCTCCTCTTAAGCACAGCCAGTGACCAAGGCAGGGGGATTATGGGAGCTGTGATCCAAAAAAAGCGTCCAAGTAGTAGGTAGGCTGTTTTCCATGGCTTCTTAAGATTAACCTGCTTCTTGGTTTCTCCCCCTACCCCCAGGAATATATGAGTGGGCTGCAGGTGAAATATCAGAAACTGCTGGTAAGATCTGATTTTTAATTACGTAGTTTATCAAGATAAATGTCTAAGTATGGTATGTTCAGGAAGGTCCAAGGGTTTATTTTGGTCGGTTGGGTTTTGGGTTTTTTTGGGGGGGAAAGAGAGAGAGAACTTTCTTGGTTTGCATGTCGTACTCTACTTGCTTAAGACATCTTTCCGGAGAGAATACCTTGACCGCTTGGCTCGGGGGTCTGCATTTTGCTTCTCCCCACTCGGAAGCCGTGACCCTGGGCAAAATGTTCCCTCTGTTTGCAGTCAGGCTCCCAACAGAGACAGAAAATCTCTACGTAAGGCACTAGTTCCATGGAACCAGCGATGTCCTTGACGTAGGGTCAAAGGATTCTTGCTGATGTGAAACTGCTTGTGATGATTGCCCAAACTCACTCCTGTCAATCATATTCAGGATCGGCAAAGGACCGGATGCAGTACGACTGGAGCGATCGGAACCTGGACTATCCCAGCCGGCACCGTCAGTACGAGGTACCCTGACTTCCCCAGAGTGGATCTCTTTAGATTCACCATCTCTACGTAAGGCACTAGTTCCATGGAATCAGCGATGTCCTTGACAGGGTCTAGGGACTCTTGCTGATGTGAAACTTCTTGTGACGATTGCCCCACCTCACTCCTGTCAATCATATTCAGGATCGTATTTGCATGAGCCTATGAGAGGAGTGGAGGGGCGGAGTCAGTGGATATAAGAAGGTTCGGCAGAAGAAAGGAGATATAGAATTTGGAGGGAGAAAGAATTTGCAGAGAGAGATAGATAGTCAGGGAGATAGTGAGAACCTATACTAATAGAGATAAGCTGATCAAGATTAATAGATAGAGCAGGTGGTGAATGTGGCAAGATATATGATATTTGAATGATTTGATTGTATGCGGTGAAAAAAGAACCTCTGTGATTCTGATTAAAGTTATTACACTTCAATAAATAAGTTCTGTTGGCAACAACCAGACAAGTGTCTGACTAAAGTTCATTATATATTGTGGATAAAGGAAATCCAATGGTGGCAGTGACAAAAAGAGGGAACGTCACAATTGGTATCTGCTGGTGGGATGACGTAGCGTGAACCCTTTGTTTGGGGAAACAAGCAAGGGCCACGTGGTAAACGTCACACTGCTCTTCTCCTGCCTTAGAATTTCATCAATCGGAAACTAGAAGAGAAAGAAGCAGCCGTCAACAAACTCCATGAAGACGGCAACAGGATGCTGTCTGAAAATCATCCCGGGAAGATCCCCATTGAGGTGAGTGTGGACTGAAAGTGGTCCGTTGAAAGAGCCTTTTTCTCCTGCATTAGGTAGCCATCATCCTCTACCTTCCCCGGTTGATCTCCTGCCACAGTCCCTGGAGGTGCATGAGTCGTGCTCGAATGCCCACTGATATCTGCCAGTCCTGACGTCCGCGTTCTTCTGCTTTTTAAGGCTCACATTGAAGCGGTCCATGCAGACTGGAAGGAATATCTCAACCTGCTGATCTGCGAGGAGAGCCACCTCAAATTCATGGAAGACTATCACCAGGTACCTTTGAAACCAAGGAACTTATTTTATTTTAATTTTCATTTAGTTGGCATCCTTTGTAGGCCACCTGTTTCCAGGTAAAGGGGGCCAAAGGGGGCTCACAATATTGAAACACAGTGTTGTAGTAATAATGATCTTAGAACTGCAGAGCCGGAAGGGACCCTATGGATCATCTAGACCAACCCCTATGAAGGAGGCCCCAGGGGGGAATTGAACTCCCACTTCTGGCTCCCTTGCCAGAGAACTTAAATCACTGAGTTTTCCAGCATTTCTAACTGCTACTAGTTAAGGAGTCGCTGGCTGTGTTCCTCATTGTGCACAGATCGTGTGACCTATCCAGCCGCTCACAATAAATTACAGATTAGAAGTCACTAAACTACAATAATAATAAGTAAAAATCCATTAATTAATTAAAAGCAGTTAAAACTTCAGAAACTGACTTAGAAAACCAACCAACCAACCAACATCGAGGAACTTAACCAGTGGGAGCTGGAAGGTGTTGCCCTGCGTCCTTACCCTCCAACAGGTGTGTGGTGGCCGTTCAGAGTGCCAGCCAGGTAGCAAACCCTGTTAAAGACCAAGGAAGCCACTTCTTTCTCCTCCTCTGCCTGGCAAACATCCCTTTTCAGTTTTCCAGCAGGTGATCAGCATTTATTCATTTGAGAGCATTTCAACGCCTGCTTAGGTACGGCAGGATGGAGATTCTGATCGTATCCATGGGTGGGCGTTTGCAGTGCCTTGCACCCATTGTCTTCTAAAGAGAGTCCTTGATTATTATTTTAATTTTTTACACAGTTCCACAAAGATGCCAAGGATGCTCAGGACCTTCTCAGAAAAGTAGACACAGAGCTGGATCAGAAGTATAGCCCTGATTTCAAGGACCGGTACCAAATTGAATCTTTGCTGCGGGAACTGGAGGTGAGTATTTGGAACGAACACAACTGGAAGCCATCCTGTACGAGAGACGTAGAAGGTTAAAGGGAGAGAGGAGAGCATCCAGGCAGCTGTGTGGTGCACTGACCCTCTTGGGGTTCGTGACCCCATGGACCAGAGCGCGCCAGGCCCTCCTGTCTTCCACTGCCTCCCGGAGTTGGGTCAAATTCATGTTGGTCGCTTCAGTGACACTGTCCTTCCATCTCGTCCTCTGTCGTCCCCTTCTCCTCTTGCCCTCACACTTACCCAACTTGCTTAGCCTACTCCTCTCTTGGCCTTCTCTTCATCCAGGACCAGGAGAAAGCCTTGGACAAGTACGACGACGTGGTGACGTCCCTTCAGAAGCGCAGCCAGCAGGTCCTCCCTCTGAAGTACCGCCGGGAGACACCTCTCAAGCCCATTCCGGTGGAAGCTCTCTGTGACTATGAAAGCGAACAGGTGCGAATTCTGATTTCTGGAAACTCAGTGGGATTCTGAAAACCAGCCGGGAAGAGGTTCTGTTTTCCTTTCTCTCTGTCAGCCGCAGGATAGAAGGATGGGTAATAACCAGGTGGGGACGGATGCCATGGGAGAGAAGTAGACCCCTCAGGGTGGGGGGATGTGGAAGTTGGGCGGGATCCCGAAGGCTTTTTGGAAGTTGACGCTTGTGACACAGTTTCTGGCTGGCGGCCGCCGTCCGCCGTCTGAAGTAAATCTCTCTCCTTTCCATCCTTGATACCAGTGGTTATAAGCTCCTTTACAGTTCTTAGTGAATTTAAAGTGTATTTTTTAATTGGCACAACTTGGGCTTTTCACTGAATGAGGGTTTAATAGTTTTCAAAGAAGGTAAAACAAACCAACAAGAGGCAAGCGTTCTGGGTCCAGGCTCACCTCCTCAAGAGATAACACAAATAATTCTTTTCTTTTAAAGGTCTGATTAGGAACTCGTCTGCAGCAGGCTCTCGACCAGACCTTTAAGAGAAAAGCAAACAAAAATCCTGTTTGTTTTCCCCTCCTGAGCCCTCCCACTTCTGGGAGGAAGTTTTCCATTTGTTTTTTTAAGGGAGGCACTGCCTAGTAGTCTTTTGTTCACCCCCTCCATGCAGCTGAGAAAATGTTTAATTCATGCATATCCTGAAGTGGCTCTCTTCATAAGTCACTCCATGGAGCCGAGGAAGTGTTTAGTTTGCCCATATCCTGAAGTGGCTCTCTTCATAAGCCACTCCATGGAGCCGAGGAAGTCTTTAGTTTGCCCATATCCTGAAGTGGATCTTTTCATAAGCCGCTCCATGGAGCTGAGGAAGTGTTTCGTTTGCCCATATCCTGAAGTGGCTCTCTTCATAAGCCACTTCATCACACTGGAAAATCAACAGGGGAGGGCTCACTCCCAAGTCATTTCCAGCGATCGTACTCACCGGAAATGAACCAAATCAGAACTGTCCTACCCACACCAAAAATAACCCCCTGGCAGGGTCCAGAAAGAGGCCGGTAGGAATGCTCTGGGGGTGAGCTGGTGTGTTCCACCAATGACATCTCCAAATCACTTTCTTAAGAGCAAAACAGTCTGATCCTTCAGAGAATCAAACCGTGGGCTAAATATCCTTGTAGTGACCCTCTAAGTCAGTCTACTTAAGCAGAACAATTTCTACCCTAGTGCCAGCTGAATCGCGGGGCCACGTACACACTGCACAAGAACAACAGTGACATGTGGGAGCTAACGGACAGCGCCGGAAACGTGTTCCACGCCCCCGGCGTGTGCTTCATGATCCCCCCTACCGATCCTGAATCCCTGTCTCTGGCTGACAAGTAAGTGCTTCCGTGCTAAGTTGGCTTGCATGCCTGCCAAGCCATCTCAGTCGCTTCTGCAAAGTTTTTTTTGGAAAGGCCCTTCCTTCCAGCGTATTCACACCTTCTTTGAAAACCGGTCCTCCCCACCCCATGTTTCCCCAACTGGCCTTATCTCTTCATTCCGTAGCATCGCTGGCCAGTGTCAGAGCGTCAGGCAGAAGACCGCCGGCACGAAGACCCTGCTGCAGCAACGACACAACGGTCTGCAAGCGGATTGCGTTGGAGGTAGGGTGTCCCACACCATTCCTGGGGGGGTTGCTTGGGTCCCCCTGTAAAAACGGAACACTCCACTCCAGTTCTCGCTCTTCTGCGCGGGAGAAGAGTTCAGGGCCAGTAGCAGGTTCATGTGGAATTCCTCTGAATGATGATCAAGTTCGTTTGTTCATTCATTTATTTCTTTGGGTTTTTTTCCCCTTTAGTTACAGTCTTTTTGCCCTGCCCTTCTCCATGAGAAAGGACCCAAGGCAGCGGACATCATTGAAAAAAAATGGCTAAAAAAAAGAGAGAGAGATCAATGACTGAAATATTTAAAACGAATTTAAAAATGGTGGTGTTAAAATAGGAAATAAAAGCATTCAAATAGCAAGATTGTAAATCAGCGGCTGTGCGTGCCCTAGGCTGAAATACACCATCATTTTGGGAGCGGAACATAGAATTTAAAATAGAAGCTGTAAAACTCATGGAAGTTAGGTGGCTGTCTGTCTGTCTGTCTGTCGAGATTTTTTTTGTTTACACGGCTATGGAAGGAGAGCTTCGGAGCAGAACTTCAGAGTGAGCATCACTAAGATTTAAATCCTTGCTTTGCCTTAAACAAGAGGAATGCATCTAGTGGCTTAAAAATAAAGTTTGGAAAATGAAATGTTGAAAGTGCTACTTTCAAGATGTTGTTCAGGAGATGCTTCTGTTGGCTTGGCCTCTTATGAATGCAAAATTAACTCTTCCGATGGGAAAATATTTAATTCAACGCTTTATTTCCAAGTTCTGACAGGCAGGGTCATAGTTCAGGGCCAAATGACATGTTCCCCGTAATAAATGTGTATTCGCACGTCTCCATTTTCACAAGATTTAATGACAGGCATGTAGGTCAGGGGGCAGATCCTTACTAGGAATAAGGAAAATGGAGGGAAAGGAAAAATAACGTCTCCCCTCCATAGCATGATTAGAAAGAAAACTCTTGCATGGCTAAGATTTTGGATGGTGTTGAGCCATCCTCTGCTCTCTCTAGTTCGAAGATGCTGGGAGTTAAAAATTGAGGAAGGTAACTTCTCAAAGTTCTTATTGATTACAGTGCAACTTATGGGGAAATCCATCCTAGCTCCTTGGGCAGAACCGTGGTCTTAGCTGGTCTCTGCGAACCCGGGCAATTGCCGAATCTAGGCAATGATTCACCGTGTCTCTCTTTCTTCCCCTGCCCCAAGATGCCACGTCCGTACAAGGGCGCCAACTGCTGGCAGGTCTGGAGAAAGTGAACGGCGAGCTGGACCGGCAGGAGAAGGCCATCACAGCGAAGCTGCGCCCACCGCTCGAGCAAAGCCGGGCGGTCCAAGACAGTGCGGAGAGGGCCAGGGACCTGAAGGTGAACACACTCTTGGGGGAGAGGAATGGGGCACCCCCTTACAACCTTCTCATTCGAGCTGGACCTCAATGGAATGTGTTGGCTGGAGCAATGGGTCTCCAGGTGTTCATGAACTGCAACTCCCAGAAGCCCTTGCTAGCATAGCTAGTGGTGCAGGCTTCTGGGAGTTATAGTTCACCCATCTGGAGACCCAAGGATGGGAACCTCTGGGCAGAGGAAGTAGAGCAACCTCAGGGATAAATATTAGCCTGGGGTGGCATTTTCCTAGCTGTTCCTACTGAATCTCCTAGGTTTTCTCTCTGTTGGCGGACAGATCTGTCTACCTTATACAGCCTTACCTGTTGAACTGGGCCTGTCTTCAGCTATTCTGGTAAAACCTATACCATCTGTAGTCATTAAGCAGGAGTTAACTGGTCATCCAGTTGGCTTCCAACATGATATTGGTGTTTCTCTCTTGGGCAGCAAAATGCCTCCCAATGCCTGGCCCTTGTTACCAGAAGAATTTAGGCGACAGCTGGGAGGAGGTGGCAGTCTTTGAATGCTTCAGAGTGAGAAAACCGTCCCTACGATTAGAAAATGAGCATCAAAGACATGAGTTGGCACAGGACGGCCCTAGGAACCTCTTGCCTACGGTTCCTCCACTTTGCAGCCTGCATGGGCTCAGCGCAAGGAGACCCCAGCCCCACGGATCACAAAGAAGGTCCCGTGGCTGATCCGGGCACCGTAAGGGGGGGTCACAAAATAATAACAAAAAACAGGATGCTAAATTTGCACAACGATGGATATACTTTAGATTGCGCTTGTAGGGCGTCTCGTATGGATGGGAAACCGAAGATGTTGGCGAGCAAGTCTTTGGATGCAAGTCCCAAGTCTCAATCTGAGTCTTTGATCCCAAGTCTCAAGTCCAAGTCCCTATTAAAAGCAAGCTTTTTCTCCCCAGAAAAGAGGGGTAAGTGGGTGGGTACTAAGTCGTGAGTCGAGTTTGAGTCATTGAGCACCCAGCCTTCCTCCGTGCGATTCTTCATCTTTCAATCGGACCTGGACTGGGTGGCCTCTCAGGCAGAGGACGCCTTCAATAAGAGGACTGTCCTGCGCCAATCTTTCCAATGGACGACTATGTTCGGTAAAACAGGACACCTGGACGTCCCAAGGCAAGGTCAACCGTGGGTCGCTGCTGTGCTTGTCGTTTGCGTGCTGCCCCTCTTCCTGAACCCACTCCTTTTTTTTGCAGAACATCACCAACGAGATCCGTCGCATTGAGCCCGAGAAAGCCGCCAAGGAAATATCTGGATTGCTTCACATTGACCCTCGGGAGGCACACTTTTGAGTTTCCGTCTGCTTTTTGCAGAGTCGACGTCGCCGGTCGCCTGGAGAGGACCCTCCAACAAGGGAGAGAGTTGCTTTCCGGCTATGAGAACAAGCTGGCCCTCGAGGACACTCTCCCGGAGGATGTCCGGGCCCTGGAGCGCAAGAGAGAAGAACTTGTGGTGAGGGGTGGCTTCCCCGGGGGGGGGGCCTTCGGAAACAAACCAGCGCTGCTCAAATGCGTGAGTTTGGGCATCGCCAGGCGGAACCTTGCAAGACATTAAAAAAGGGCCGTCTCTGTTGTGAAATCTGCCTTTTGGGAGTGGCTTCCCCGTCGGAGATTGGGAGAGCCATTATGGGCTAGTCGGTGGTGTCTTCTCATTTCAGGAGACATGGGCTCAACTCCCTGTAGGCCATAGATTGGGGGTGGAGAAGTAAAGTACACGTCTTAGAACGTCAGAGCTGAAGGGACCCCATGAGATCATCCAGTCCAGCCCTTGTCAACAAGGCACCATGGGGGGAATTGAGCGCCCAACTTCTGGCTCCACAGCCAGAGGCCTTAAACCACCAAGCTACCCACCAGTCCTTGAACGTCTTGTATCTCAGAAACCCTGTAATCGAGGTCTGGTGTTTGGTAGTGGGGGTTGCCTTTCACATTTGGGTGCGAGTTGCATTTCAAAAGGAACTGAACGAGTGGGAGCAAAGCTATTTTGTCTGGACAGGAACTTCCCAAATTCTGTGCTGTGCAAATTCATCATTCTTAAGCCCTACCCTGCAAGTCGTGAAAAGTTAACAGCGAGGAAGTGACAACGTGATAAATAACGAGTCATTTTTCTCATTGTACCGAGCGACGCGGGCAATTTACTTGTGAAACTCAGTAACGGGGAAAGGACACAAGTTCCTTTCAAAAGGGTAACATTGCAAACTCTGTTTTTCGTTATACCATTCCATGGATTTGTTTATTTGATGGGTGGAGTTTAATTTTCAGGTGCTTTACAATGGGTAGGATCCTGTCGCGTACATAGACCAGTGGAAGCCCAACAGTTAAAAAAAACCCCACAGTAGCCAATTCTCTCTAGTTAAGGAGACACGGCTTATATTCCTTGTCACATGGTGGGTCAGAAGATCAGTGCAGGACGAGGAATACAACCAGCAACTCCTTACCTAGTAGCAATTAAAACTGCTGGTCAATTCATGGGTCGAGGTCTCTGGCCTCAGAGGTGGAGGTTGGGAGTTCGATTCCCCACAGTGCCTCCTTGATACGGGCTGGACCCAATGATCCATAGGTCTCCCTTCCACCTCTGCATCTAAGATTATTACCATTTGCTGCAGTGATGTATGGCATGGTGCTTTACACCGGTGTACATGAGCCGTGTGATTCTAGCCGTGATGTTGAATTTGTGAGCTTGCCTGGAGCCTCTCTCTCTTCAGAAGGCAAGATGGTCTGTGCATAGGCACAGATATAAAGAGGCTCTTCTGATAAGCGTTTTGCTGTCGTCCCCTCCTGCCCAGGCTTTGGGTTCTGAGCTGCAAAGCCACCGCCGTTTGTTGAGCGAAGCGGAGCAGGAGCTGAAGAAGGCGAAGAAGTGTTCCAGCTCCCTCGCCAGCCAGTTCCAGGAGCACTGCCCGGACATTGAGCGCCAGGAAGCCGAGCTGCACAAACTCAACCAGCGGTTTGCCAACCTCGCCAAGCAAATCGATCACAGGTCAGGTGGTGGTGGGTGGAACGCCGTTCGGCAGGCGTGAATGGCAAGGACAGAGGCGGGCAAAAGATTGAAAGTAGAACAAGATGCAGCCCAGTCATTTGGCTAGCTTGAGGAGGGTGGGTTGAATGGTTCCATCAGGTATGAGCAGCCTGTTTTATGGACTGACTTGCCCTTTCAGGGATGAATGCACAGTTCATTGAGACCTCTGTTTTGAAGCAGGTGCAGAAAAGGTCCAGATTCTTAATGGTCTAAAAAGAGCAGCAACTAATATACCAAATGTTTTCATGTATAAGACGTCCCCATGTATAAGACGCCCCCACTTTCTAATCTAAAATTAAGAAATCTAAGTGGTGCTTAGCAAGTGTGGGGGGAAAGGGATCAAAGCACTGCAGGATCACTTCGATCCCTGCTTTCTCCCTTCATGCTAATCCCCACAGGGCTTAGCAAAAGGAGGGGGGAAAGGATCAAAGCCATCCCATGATTGCACAGTCGTTTTGATCACTTTCCCCCTTATACATCCCAGGGATTGCTTTGATCCTTCCCCCTTCCTTTTGCTAAGCCCAATGGGACTTAGCAAGCAGAGAGGAAAGCAGGGATCAAAGCGATCCTGCTTTGATCCCTGCATTCCTTTTGCTAAGGCCTAGCAAGTGGAGGGGAAAGCAGGGATCAAAGCCCTGCAGGATCACTTTGATCCCTGCTTTCCCCTCCACTAGTTTTGGTTCTCTCCTCACCTTGTTTCCATGTATAAGATGACCCTCAATTTTTAGTCTGAAGATTTTAGACAAAAGTATAGCCTTATACACACAGAAAAATACGGTAGATTCTCTTGCTAAAGAAGTTCACTTGGGGGGAACCTCCGCAGTATATTTCTGTGCTGAAGGACTTGTGGACTTGATTCTGGTGCTGGCCACAAATTCCTGAGCCAAGCTCCTTAATTTGGAAGGGTTTCATCTACCCTGATTGGGGGGCCTCCGGGCTCTTGCAAAAAGGCAACCAACCAAACTGAAATCCCTCCCCACCCCTGATCTGTATGTAATGGTTGTGGTTTCTGCTGCCTGGAATGTATTCAAAGTTTGAGAAGGTCACAAATTAAATTAACACCAGAAGACATCCTCTAGCAGGAACCGTAGTAGCAGTTATTTGCAGCCGTGTCTTAGTATTAGAAAAATGAGGATTTGTGGACAGTTTTCACAGATATATAACAGGTTCACATGGAGAAACTAGTCTATGCGAGTGGTGTGCACCACGATGGCCCGGGGTGCTGCCAAACCAAGACAGGGGTGCCACAGAATCCTCAGACTGACTTCCCCGCTCACCCAAAGTATAATATGTGGGGTCCTGTGGCCGGTGGGGGGCCAGTGAGTCAACGGAGGTGTGAGTCAAAAAAGGGAGGGAACCCCTGGTCTACATTCTGCAAGGATAGATCAGGTTGAATTCTGCAATCTCTACACGACTGAGCATCGAAAGGAAGTCTTATCCGTCCTTATTTCCATAGATCACAGGTGCTACAGAAAGCCAAATCAGCTTATTCCAACTACCGCAGCGGCTACGACGGTTTGAGCCATTTCCTTTCCAACGTGCCCAATTACGAGCCGCAAGAAACGGACACCATCCGTCAAGTGGAAACCAAGTTAAAGAATCAAAGGGTAATCATGGGAGAGAGGAGTAGTTCTTCACGAGGACTTTGGGGTTTTCGGAGAAGCCTGTCTCACCGCACATTTCCTTTACCATCCTTGTTCCTTTAGCAAGCCCCCTTTGAACAATGTGTTCTGTTTCCGATTTCAAATTCAGCACCCACGCAGCAAAGCGGAGCAAACAGAACACGTGTTCTAGGGTGAACTGTTGATGTCGGAGATCTTGACCTCACCGTCCTCGTTTTTTTCTGCTGTCTTTTAGGCCCTTCTGGGAGAAATTGCACGGAAGGACCCCGATCTCCAGAAAGTCTCAGCTGAGGCTCAGCAGTACCAGCAGGCAGTGAAGGTGAGGAATCTCGGGAAAGTCAGGACGCCTGGCATGGTCGGAAGGGTTGCCCGGAAGGTCAACAAGGCCATCCCCTTGGGAGAAAGCTCTTGGGCTGGAGGTGCTGTTCTAACAGACTTCCTTTCTCCTTCTTTCCAGGACTATGAACTCGAAGCAGAGAAACTCAGATCCATCCTTGACCTGGAAAACGGGCGCAATGGCTTCATGAACAAAAGACCCCGACTCCAGTCTCCAGCCACTAAAGTAAAAGAAGAGGTAGGTTAAAGCGGTGGTGGGTGCAGAGATCCTTCTCCTTCTTCTCCTGTTTCCTTGCTTGCTTCTCTGTGTGTTTCTGTCCAGGTTTGGTTAGAAAGATAACATTTAGCAACGTAAAAAGATCACCTAGAATGCTGGGGACGCTGCTCTGTCAGCCAATGGGAGGTGAGGGCAAATGGCGGTTTTTCACTGAGCCTGCAAGATGAGATGACCTTTTCTTAATGTGTTTTTCTGGTTACCCTTCTTAGGAAGCTCTCCTGGCTGCAAAGTTTACAGAAGTGAACGCCGTGAATAAACAGAGGCTGCAGAACCTGGAGTTTGCCCAGAATCTCCTGCGACAAGTGAGTGTGAGATACAGCGCTCCTGCGGCACAGCTCTGAGAATCTTTGCAGATCTTATATTATGTAGCCATTTATTATGTATATATCCCACGTTTCTCCTAAAGACTCGTGAGTTGCCCAGAATCTCCTGCGACAAGTGAGTGCGAGATACAGCGCTCCTGCAGCATAGCTCTGACAATCTTTGCAGATCTTATATTATGTGTGTACCCCACGTTTCTCCTAAAGACTCGTGAAGGCTTGTATTCTTAAATCAAAGAATGCAAGACAGGATTTACTAGCAAAAGAGAATGGAATGAAAAGACTGTAGTGAAAGCCACCGTTTCCAAGCAATTCACATATTCATGATGGCAACAGCAGTGATGGGCTGGACAGTCGATACAACTGCACTGATGAGGGACGGATGTCCAGCTTCTGTCCTTAATCAGTGCTGTTGCAAGGTGTAACAAAATCTTCCTGGGCAAATAAACTGCCTAAACAAGGTAAGGTGCACTCAGAAGACCAGCCTTGGGCAATCTTTTGAAGGACAAAGAGCGTAAGGCCTCAGTTTAATGCAGACAAATATCTTGAGAAAATCCAGCAGAACCCATAATTGCTTGGTGGCAAGGAGTAAGGTAAAGGTTCCCCTTAACAATTTGTTCAGTCGTGTCCAACTTTTGGGGGTGGCGCTCATCTCTGTTTCCAACCCATAGAGCTAGTGTTTGTCCAAAGACAATCTTCCATGGTCACGTGGCCAGCGTGACTAGACATGGAATGCCGTTTACCTTCCCACCAAGGTGGTGCCTATTTATCTACTCGCATTTTGCATTGTGCATGCTTTCGAACCGCTAGGTTGGCAGGAGCTGGGACAAGCGACGGAAGCTCATTCCACCCTGTGGATTCGATCTTACGACTGCAGGTCTTCTGACCTTGCAGCACAGAGGCTTCTGCGGTTTAACCCGCAGCGCCACCACATACTGCAGATTTGGGATACTTGGTGGTACATATCCCAAATCTGCAGTGGTCCTTTTCAACAAAGATGGCGGGCCCAGAAAGATGGAAGGGAAAAATCTTGGACACATCTAACTGCAAGGTGCCAGCAAGACAGTAGGAAGGAAACAGGAAGAAATTGAAACCTGTTGCAAACCTCAATACACTTAGAGTGAGATCCAGTGCATATGGATTAGCTTTCAAGGAATCACATTTACCGCCTTTTCAACAAAGATGGCGGGCCCAGAAAAATGGAAGGGAAAAATCTTGGACACACCTAACTGCAAGGTGCCAGCAAGACAATGGGAAGGAAACAGGAACAAATTGAAACCTGTTGCAACCCTCAATACACTTAGAGTGAGCTCCAGTGGATTAGCTTTCAAGGGATCACATTTACCATTGGAGGATAAGAACATGATCCTTTAAATGGCCATCTGGCAGAATTCGTTAGAGATTAGGGGTGAGGGGTAAGAGAAAGCACCTTCTAAAGCAGGTTGAGAGCCATGTAGTTTGAAGTTTGCCTAGACCCCACAAGGTTGTTCTCATAGCCCCACAACCTCCTAATGTGTGCGGGGGGAACATCTAAAAAAAAGAGGGAGAAGCATTGGAAGTCCAGATTTTGGCACGTTTTTGTTGCATCCGGTCTCAGCTCTAAAATGGCTTTCTGAGAAACCAGAAGTGGCTATCTGGTGACTTCCAGGTTCATCCAAAATCCACAGATCAGCCTGCAAAGATCTATGGGGCTGGAAAAAAGGGGGTCCCAGAGTTCCCTTCTGGGGCTGCTCCCACCCCAGCAAAAGAAGGGGACTGTCGCCTCAACCGCTGACTCTTGACTTTCTCTTTGCCGACAGCAGCCCGAGGTCCAGGTGGTGCAGCAGTCCCTTCAGACCAGCCAGTCCGAGAGGCCGCTGGACGAAATCTGGAAGCTGAGGAAGGAGCTGGACGATGAGAGTCAGCGCCGGCAGCAGCTGGAGGAAGAGATCAAGGTCATCCAAGAGGACATTCTCCTCCTCCAGAACCAGAAGCCGCCGGAGACGCTGGTCAAGAAGGAGGTGGTGAAGAAAATGCCAGACCCGCAGCTGGAGGACAGCTTCCACAAACTGCAGCAGAACCTGGCGGAGGAGCAGCGCAAGAACCACAGCCTGCAGGAGGAGCTGGAGGCCCTGAAGCTCAAGTTGCGGGCCCTGGAGCGCGAGAGGAGAGAAGGCGGGCAGGAGTACGTGGTCAAGGAGGTCCTTCGCATCGAGCCGGATAAAGCTCAGGAGGAGGAGATCCTGAAGCTGAAGGGAGAACTTGAGGAGCTCAAGAGGCAGGAAGGCGCCCGGGAGAACGAGATGGCCCTCCTGCGGCGCCAGATCGCGGCTCTTTCCGACCAGAAGATCCGGGAGCAGGAGAAAGTGACCGAAAAGGAAGTGGTGAAGCTCCAGAACGACCCCGAGCTGGAGACGGAGTATCAGCGGCTCCAGGAGGACAAGCAGAGGGAGAGCGCCTTGAGGCAGCGGCACGAGGAGGAGCTGAGCCACTTGCAAGCCAAACTGAAGCGGCTGGAGAAAGAGCGGGCCATGGCGGAGGGCAAGATCACGGTGAAGGAGGTGCTGAAAGTGGAGAAGGACGTGGCGGCGGAGAGGGAGGTGAGTGAGCTGCGGCGGCAGTACGAAGCGGAGAAGGCCCGGAGCCGCTCGATCGAGAGGGAACGAGCCGAGCTGCTCAGGAAGATCCAGGCTCTGGAGGAGGAGAACGGCAGAGTGATCGTCCAGGAGAAAGTCCGGGAGATTGTTCGCCCGGATCCCCAGGCTGAGAACGAAGTGGCTAACCTTCGCCTGGAGCTGATGGAGCAAGAGAGAAGATACCGGGGTGGAGAGGAGCAGCTGAAGAGCTGCCAGGACGAGCTGTCCGACCTGAGGAACAGAGGACCCCAGGTGGAGGTACAGGAGGTCATCAAGGAAGTGATTAAGTATAAGAATGACCCGGAGACGGAGATGGAGTTGCAGCGCCTTCGGGACGAGATTGTGGACCGGACCCGAGCCATCGAGAGAGCGGATCTGGAAATCTACCGCCTGAAGCAAGAGATCCAAGTGCTGAAAGATGCCAAGCCTCAGGTCCAGATGAAGGAGGTTGTTCAGGAGGTGCTGCAGTACCGGGAAGATCCCCAGACGAGGAAAGAAGTGGAGTCCCTGAGGGCTCAGCTGGCTGAGGAGCAGAAGAAGCACATGGATTTGGAGCGGGAGAGGACGTTGCAGGAGGAGAGGATCAGGCAGAAGGAAGAAGAGCTGTCTCAGGTGAAGGAGAAGGTGGTGCAGCAGGAAGTGGTGAAGCTGGAACAAGATCCCGCCTTGAAAGCGGAGATCACCTCTTTCTCCCAGAGCCTGGAGAACGAGCTGCAGCAGATTGACGCGCTTCGGAACGAGATGCGCAAGCTGCAGCGGAGGAGGTCGGAGCTGGAGCGCCAGCTGGAAGAGCTGGAGAAAGAGAGGCAGGCCCGCCGGGAGGCGGAGCTGGAGGTGCAGAGGCTGAAGATCAGGCTGGGCGAGCTGGAGCAGCAGGAGAAGGAGACGACGGAGAGGGTCACCGTGAAGCAGAAGGTCATCCTCCAGCAGGACCCGCAGCAGGAGAAAGAGCACGCCCTGCTGAAGCTGGAGCTGGAGGAGGAGAAGCATCGCCGGCAAGTCCTGCAGGCGGAGTTGGACGCCCTGAGGAAGAAGCTGCAAGGGCTGGAGAAGATGGAGGTCAAGGAGAAAGTGGTCTTCTCGGAGAGCGTCCAGGTGGAAAAAGGAGACACGGAACATGAGATCCAGAAGCTGAAGAGCAACATGGAAGAGGAAAGCCGCCGCAAGATGGAACTGGACGCCGACATCAACAGGCTAGAAGCCAAGTTGTCAGAGCTGGAGTTCAGCAACTCAAAGTCTTCTAAGGAGCTGGACTTTTTGAGAGAGGAGAACCACAAGCTTCATCTCGAAAAGCAGAACCTCCTGCTGGAGATGAGGCAGTTGCAGTCGGAGATTGAGCTCACCATGACGGAAGCCCGGGATTTAAGGAACATGTCGCAGCCGGACACCGGGGTGAATCTGGACTCCCGGTTCCAGGCTTTGGAAAGAGAGCTGGAAGATCTGAAGAGGATGTCTCGAGAGAAAGACAACGAGATCGAACAGCTCCAGAATCGCCTCCAGACGGTGGCCATCAAGAGAGAGCAGAGAGAAAACCACCTGAGGCGCTCCATCGTGGTCATTGACCCGGACACCGGAAAGGAGATGTCTCCCGAAGAAGCCCACCGGTTTGGGCTCATCGAGTGGAGCTTGTACGTCAAGTTGAAAAGCCAAGAATGCGACTGGGAAGAGATCACCATGAAAGGACCTGGTGGCGAGTCCTCGGTCATCCTCGACAGGAAGTCCGGGAGGAAGTTCTCTATTGAAGACGCCTTGAAGAGCGGAAGGTTAACCCAGTCTCAGTACGAGAGTTACCTCAACAAGGAGATGTCTATCCAGGAGTTGGCCGTCTTGGTGTCTGGACAAAAATAGTTGCTCCATCCTCAAGAGAGGATTTAAAAACAGGGTGATTCTTGAGCAGCTAGTTTAGACAATACCTCTCATTCCAAACTCAAAACTTCAACCTATTCCTTTCGGGGGGGAGTGACGTGTCAAGAATCGAGTGCCTGCTGTCAACACTAGGGTGCTCTTAAGCTGCCCTTGGTTGCTTTTATCCAGAATAAGGAAATATTGTCAAAGTCACTCCCACATTCTGATACGGTTGCGAGTTACCCTTGGTCCTCCTCCAACAGCGAATTCCTTGTACACACAAGGGAGAAGGTGGGGAGGAGGAAATTCCGCCTTTCCTTAGTGTAGTTTCTGAATCCAGGTCTTCCAGTTGGGCACCTCTTCCCCCAACGCGACAGCCTTTCCCAAAACAGCCATGAAGCTGGCCACACAAACAAGTTGGAAGCTAATGATGGCCCCTTCAAAAATCTCCTTATTAGTGTGTTACAGCTAGAGTAGGACGAGTTAGCTTACCTGATAAGGTATTTGTGTGTGCAACTCTTTGAGCACTCTAAAGCACTAAGTGCCACCAGTATTGTGCACTGAGTAATCTGTTCTCCTGGATGGTATTTAAAGACGACCACTGGAAAAAATCGGATGCTCGGTTAAATCAGCAAAGAGGTCCCAATCACCAACCGTTGATCACGTCTACAAGCAGATGCTGTTGCTCCTTTCCCTCCTGCCGTTTTAAGCTATTCACGCAGACGGCACTGTCAGAGCTTCGGCAAAAGATGGCATTTAAGGCCAGCGTAACTCTTTGTAATATAACCATCCTCTGCGTGACAAACTGGCAGCTGATGAGGCTGGATTGTTAAGATGATCGGAGTGCCTTTAACTATCTTGCCCAAAAGCTGTCAGCATTTCTGATGGCGCATTATGCCTATGCTTCTGTGTTTTAAAAGTACTTACTTCCTATTTCAAGCCATATTTAGGTCATCTCTATTCCTTAAAATAGGAAGTTAGCAGGTGACGCCACTATAACCCGATGGCCAAGTTGCCTTCTTTCCCACGCTATAAAGATATTCATGCTGGTGTCGTGCTTTGCTGTCTTTTGATGGTATCCAAATATTTGCTGCCGAAGGGATTGGGAGATCTTATTTATAACACCAAATAATAATAATAATAAAGGTAGTGACCTAAAGTGACGAATTCTTCTGTTATTCTTAACGTTCATGTATGGAGGACGCTATAAAAGGGATTCCGAACACTCTACACGGGCAGGGTTGGATGTGAAGAAACACAGGGGAAACATTTGTAAGATTCAGAGGTGGTGCATGCGGGCTGGATTTCGTAGGTTCCCTAAAGGGTGGAATTCTGCGTTTTGACATCAGCTTTAATTTAGAAATGGGGCTACCAGTTTTCCTCGGGTGACTGCCCACTATGTTCCCCCCAAGATTGAAGGAGGCTTGGTCGGATTGCTGGTGAACAGAAAACGGCTTTAGTGGCCTGCCTTGCATGTCCCGGCATATAGCAGCAGAAGCAGAGGATGCCACACACTTTTAAATATGGATGAGCGATGAGAGGCTGCGGCATTCAGACTTGTATTGGCACAGAATTCAATGCAGGCGCAACTGAACCACCTCGTGGCGTGGTGTTTAAACTGCAGTGCTGCGGTCAAGACTCTGCTCAATTTTATCAGGTGTTGGCATCCAGCTCAAGGTTGACTTGGCCTCCCATCCTTCTGAGGTTGGTAAATTGAACACCAGCTCGCGGGTGAGTGGGCCATGTGCAGCCTGCGTAATTCAATTGTAAATGGGTCAGAGAGTGTTTTCAGCACTATGGGGGTGGTATAGCAGCAGCACACTTATCATCTCAGCAGTCCCCATGCGCCGGGAAATTGGAAACAAGAGTTTCCCCTTATTCCTGGCATATTTGTTTGGAAAACTGCTGCCTCCACCACTGGAACATTTGACAAATCCAGGACCATCTTCTCTGCACGACGCTAGGAGAGAAGAATCTTTCCCCTTTGCCAGAGACCTGATCTTTTTCTGCTCTAACCTGAATCTGGGACCTTCTACACGCAAAACACATGCTCTGATGCTGAATGGCAGGCTCTTTTGTGTGTGTGTGCGCGCAGAGAGAAATGAAAACAACATTTTGGAAACTGAAAAAACCCACCATTTTATTCCGTCGCTGTATACAAGATTAACCTTTATTTTAAAACGCCCTCCCCTCTCCTTATCACCTAAAAAGGTCCCTCCCGCCGCCCCCCAACAAAACACACAAAAATAAATCGCAGCTCTTCCCGCACACAGAGAAACTGCGTTGTTTTTTCTCCTAAGTTTTAAGTGCCATCAGGTGGTGCGCATGCCCACCGTAAACAAAAATCTCCCAAATAAAGAAGAAAAAAGGGGGGGAAAAGGTGGTCTCGGGCCAAGGCAAGACAGCAGAAGGCGCTCCGTTGTCGTCACAGCCCTTCGGCCATCAGACCGTGCTCCGCCATGGCTCTGTTCGATTTTCAGTTCTCTCACGTCTTCAACGCAAAGGGAAAAAGTTGGGGATGAGGTGGGGAAGAAAAGCAGTAAGGGAAGAAATCGCGCAGAATTTCCACCATACATAACATTTCCCTGAGGCAAGAGGCCGTATATTATAGTTGTTTCCAAAACAAGGAGCTCCTGGCATGGCACGCGCAGGCGAGGGGCGACACTGAAGGAAAGGCCAAAGGGTGAAATTAAGAAGATACAACTCAAATGATGCCCGGGGTCGCACCAGATGCTGAGCACTAGGTTCCCACGAGAGGGAAGAAGCTCTCACGTGAGGTAACCAGTACGCAGCCGGATTGACCCCCAACAAAAAAAGGGGGAAAACAAACACCACGAGAGGGAAGAAGCTCTCACGTGAGGTAACCAGTGCGCAGCAGGATTGACCCCCCAACAAAAAAAGGGGAGGAAACAAACAACAAAAAAAGAGAGCACCTATTTATTAAAACATCTGTGCTTCCAAAACTGGCCCCCTTGAAATTTGGTCTTTGGCTCCGAATTGCGCAACCCAGATGGTTTGTTTTATTAAAAAAAACAAATCCGACACTGGCATGTCGGAAATCCTCAAGACGAATTCTGTCGCTGATGCAGAAGAGCTGGGCGCCTTTGCTCATGTTTGCCGGGCCTGCTTGAAAAGAAAGAACCGGGGTCCAAAATCACCGTCCTAACAGTAGCGGAACTCAACTGTGGTTTTGCTCGTTTAGAAATAAAAATAAATAAATAAATCCCGGGGTTATGGATCAAGTGCTGTCTTGTCTGTTTCAGAGAAAAAATCAGCACTGGGGGAGGGGGATTCAAGAGGGAGCCATTACAATCAGGGAAAAGCCCCCCCCCCAGTGGAAGGTGGCAAATCATGGTTCTTCTGAACATAACCTGCACCCGTTCTATTCACTCAAATGGCTTTTGGCTGAAGGAAGCCTCTATTCGCAGGGGGCTGCCCTGCTTGGCCTTCGGCAAAAAGCTTGGTCCTTTTATCTTGTGCCCGGCACCAGATTAGCCGAGGGAGCAACGAAGCTGCCAGCAGCTGCTTTGAAACTAGGTGGTTCTTCTGGTCAGTTCTCGAAGACTTTTGCTCCAGAGCACCGCTGGGAAGGGCTGGGAAGCCTGACCGGAAGGAGGAAGGAAGGAGCCCCCCCCCCCCGGAGAGCTAAGCAACTTGAGGAAGTGAACTGGATCTGTTGGGAAAGTCATGCGCCAAAGCACTGAAAGGAAGAGGGTCTAAGCCCTGGCCACATCTCATGTGGGGCGGGACGCATGCTTACACAGCATCATTTCGGGATGGAGTGGTTTCCCCTCCTGCAATCCCTCAGAATCAGCTCCCCCTCCCGCAGTTCTGTGTGCACCAAGTGGAACTTCCTCCTGCAGGAAACCAGATGGGAAAACGCTGCTTCCTGGACTTGCTGACATGCGGAAGCCTGGCTCCGGGCATGGAGGGGCCTTTGAAAGTCACCACCTCCACCTGGCCTGAGCCAACGCATGAGACCAAGGGTGGCCGCTGATGCACAACCCCAGGGAAAGCTCTTGGCAGAACAGCCCCCAAGACATTTTAAGCACAACCCAGATTTTTCTCTTAAAAGAAGAAAAAATTTAAAAAGATGGGAGGGAGCTCACACACCAGGGGAAAAAAAGCCTGAAAGGTTTTACACTCTTGCTTCGCTAGAAGGCACTGGAATTACAGCTTCGCTATAGACCATGACATGCAGGGTGGGGTGGGGTGGAAGGGTCGTTGTGTCTCATCTCCAATGCATACAGTGGTGATCACGGGGTGGAAGAGGAAGGGAGAAAAGAGCATTCAAAGAAAAAGGAAAACTGGGCTGGGAAGCAAAACCAAACTGGGGGAAAAAAAACGAGACTGCAAAATCAGTTCCACGTCCATAAGTGCAGCGTGAGGCCTCCCGCATCTTGTCTTTCCTTCGGAGAGGGCCAGGGAGAGACCGGCTTAACCCCGTTGCCACAGAGGAGGGCAGGTCTTCCAGACAATCTGGGCACAAGACTGCTCTCGTTAGCACTGGGGAGGGGGGGAAGGGGCAGGACGTGGCATCAAGCCGCTCTCTTCGATGGGCTCCTGTCAGCCGGGAACGCTCAAGGCACCCTTCTGTCATCCACGGCAGAAACCACGGGGATCCCAAGGGCGTCTAGAAGGACCGGGCAGGAAAGCTGTGTTGTCGAGACTGGCCGTCACCTCCTTTCCGCCACTTCCGCCTTTGCCCTGGTGCCCGGACTTCCGCCGCGTCCAGAACAGTGTCTGTTAAGTGCCTCCTTTCGCCGTGGGAGGCACGCGTCCCCGAGCAAAGCTCCTGGCCTGAGCTGGGGAGAGGAACCTCAGGGCAACTCTGTTTCAGAAGAAATAGCAAGGAGAGAGCAGGGAAGGGCACCTGGGTGCCCACAGCTCTGGATCCACAGGCTGCCTTGGGGGGTGGGGGTGTCTCTTGATGACCGCTTTTGGAGAGTCGTCACAATTTCCGGGGCTGCACGTTGGACCCTTTGCCGTGTAACTGAGAAGAATCTGAAAGGGAGGTAGAAAAACCAGCGCTGTTAAAATCCCCGGGGGTAGAACCTGAGCAAAACTGAGCATTCCAGTTCTTGTCCACAGTACAGAAAGCTCGATGCACAGAGAGACCATCGCCATGCGCAAAAGGCCCTGCAACAGACACACCGCTCTGAGCGCAGAACAAGACAGCCAAGCAGCTGCGACCCACCCTGGGCGTCCCCTCGCATCCCACTGCAGTACCTTCCTGCAAGCCACCGTCACACCATTGGTAGGATCCAGAAAGAACAGGGAAAGCGTGCGGGATTTTACACTGCTGGAAAGCTGTATGTTCGAGGCTGTTTAGCTTAGGAAAAAGGCAATGCCGGCTTGGCGGAGCACGCAACACGTATGCATCGTGTAGAGAAGGCCTCCAGGAAGACCTTTTTCTCCCGCCCTCAACGTCAGAGAAATTCAGGCTCATTCACCTGGAGCTGAGCAATGGGAAATTCAGGAGAGATATAAAGAATTAACTTCTTCCAAACTGAACCCTGGAACTTGCTGGCATAAGATGCAGGGATTGTGGCTGCAAAGCTGGGCATCTCTTAAAAGGGATCAAGTGAATACAGAGAGTTCGGGGCCATCATGAGCTGCTCATCGAGATGGCTATATGCTGTCTCCAGCCTCGGAGGCCATGAGGCTTGGTGCTGGTTAATTTTTCGGGAATATGAGTGGACGGAGGCTGTTGGTAGGCTTCCTATCCTATGGCCGGTCATTGGGCAAACAAAATACTGGACCAGATAAGCTTCAGGCAGATGCATCGTCTCCTTCTTGCACTTAAAACCGGCATATTCTTCTGGATCCGTGGTAGCAAGGTTGATCCCAAATGTATGTTACTTAATAATAAAGTAGTGATTGGTAGATGGAAGGTTTGGCAAGGAGGAGGGGACAAGGGCAAACAGAAGGGGGAAAGAGCAGCGTCTGAATTCTGTGAGAGCATCTATAAGCAGTGAGCTAACTGGATCGAGGTTGGACTCGTATCCGGTACCTGTGGGCCTAAATCAGTCTGCTGGCTCCAACGGGAGGAGGTCCAGTTAAGCCACGGAACAAATGCTGAGTCAACTCTTTGTGCACATCCTATTAACTCGCTGGGGATGACCCAAAGGACTTGGGTCTGTGTTTCTAACAAAGTCAAAACTTTAAAAAAAACAACACGACAGAACTTCAGATTGCGGTTCGAAAGCACAACATAGTAGCACAAAATAACAGATAAAAAGCAGCAGCGGCGGCAGCAAGCTATTAGTAGGAAACAAAGACTAAAAATACAACAGGTCCCTCGTAACTGTGGGACTGGTATCCGCTATTTCACTTATACGTGGTTGGTTGCAGACTCTACATACAAGGGCACTCCCCTGTGTCCTTTTATCCTGGGCCCTTGAATGTTGTACACAGAGTTCCCTGGTATCCGTGGTTTCAGGCATCCACAGTAGATTGTGGAATGGATCCCCTGCAGATACAGGGGTCTTCCTGTACCAGATAACATACCCTACGTACAAGGAAGTGAACTATAATCCATGAAACCTCTGAATGTAACAAGTCAGTCAAGTTTTTAAGGTACCACCAAAATCTGTCCCATTTCAGGAGCATCCCTATTTTTCCCTCCAAGGATTCCCAAGCCAAGCAAAGCCAGCAGTCCCAATATAACCAGCCCTGAGATCTCAAGGCGGGGAATGTCTGCATTAAGCAGCTCTAATATATGGGTTGAGTAAGAGGGCAGCAGCTCAACTTTAAGGGGAAACGATGCTGCTTACCCCCCCTGAGGCTTGGGCCTGAAGCATTAGGGCTTTCCAGAAAAAAAAGGCCTTTTTTGTCTTGGGAGGCTTTGCGACCAGCAAGACAACGGGGTAAAGAGGGCCACGCTCCCGCTGCAAGCAACTCAGGAACGCACGAGACCACCAAGCGCAGCGGAAGAGTTACCTGGCAAGTTCTGTGGCAAATGAGCAGGCAGCCCCGAGGGAGGGAGGGGCGCTGCCTGGCGGAGGCTGGAGGACAAGCCAGCCAGAAGACCTGGAAAGGGGAAGGGGGAAGAGACCAAGAGAGGAGGAGGCAGAGGAGGCGGGAGGGAGAGACAAATGTATGTTGAAGGCAAAGGAGCACAGAGAATGAAGGTGGGATGATAAGGATCCAGTGGCCCGCCCCCCACCTCACCTCACCCAACCTTTTTCTGTCGCCAGCTGAGAAATCCTACCAAGTCCAGCCGGGGAAAGATACACAAAACCCCTTTCCTCCCCGATGCCCCCAGAGCACTTACTGTGGCCAAGGCCATGGTGGAAAGTCCCCGGGGCCGGTCCCGTGACGATGGCGTCCTTCGACACCCCAGCCTTTGGGGAGGATTCGGAGCTGAAGGAAATCACATGAAGAGGGAAGGAATGGATGGGCGGCATGATCCCCAGGGGAGCGGAGGCGAGAGCCGCAGGCAGCTTCGGGCTGCCGGGCTTGTAGGAGGGAGAGAGGACGTTCAAGGAAGACGAACTGGTCAGCAGCACGGCTCCGCCGGCTCCTTTCTAGGAAAGAAGGCAAAGCTGCAGTCAGAACAGCCGAGCGACGGCTCCGGTCACCACCCAGGGACCCATCACGCAAAAAGGGAACTCGCTAGGCGGACGGAGGAAGCATGGGGCCACGGAATGCGACCTCGCCAGGAAGGGAAAGTCTGCGATTCTTCCCTATCAAGTGGACACAGCTAACACTGGCTAAAACAAGCAGTGGGTTATTTTTTTAAAAACAAGATTGTGAGATCAGCAAGTCTGGGCTGGAATCTGCTGGCGGGGGGTAATATGCTTGGAGAGATTACAAGTACTGTAGTTTGGGCAGGCACAGAACACCAGCTTGTTTAAATCTTTAAAAACCTACTTTTCTGATGATTCAAATCATTGTTTTAATTTAAATTTCATCCATCCTGGCTTTTTATCTTGCATTGCCATAAAAACCTCAGGTCTGCAACTTGCTTAAAGTTATGCAAACCGAATGCATCTCCCATTTATGAATTTGGCACATTGACTCTTCTTTTATACACTTTTTAAAAAAAATGATGGGTGTAAACTGCCAGGCAGGGAGTGGTCATTTCTGTCTCTTTCCTACAACGTCCCGGTTTTTGAAAGGACAAGTATGCAGCGATAAACGATAAGCTAACATGTGAGATAAAAGTAAGAAGGGAAATGACAAAATAAAATGATGATTTTAAAAAGATATGAAATCCGTATTTGAATTGTGTTTTTGTAAAAGGGAAAAAGTCAAAAGCCAGAAGAATCAAGGCATTTTTGGAGTGGAGTGGGGTAAAAAGAAATTAAAAGGAAATATTTTCTTATCTGGTCCCCAAGGGTGATGGTGGCACAGGGGGAAAAATTTTGTATTAGTACATGTATGCCTGGTCCCCAAGGGTGATGGTGGCACAGGGAGAAAATTTTTGTATTAGTACATGTATACATACACATTTTATGTCTTTAAGAGAACTGCTTCCAGAGGAGACAATATTGGGTGATCAAGGACAAACAGCCCTATGTAGTCCCTCTCCTCCTCAGCATCGTCCATGAATTTTTGTGGTCTATGCTAAAGACAAGTCCCTGTCCTTAACAGCTTGTAATCTTATGCTAAAGACAAGTCCCTGTCCTTAACAGGTTGGAATCTTATGAGGAAAGACTGAAAGAACTGGACATGTTTAGCCTTGAGAAAAGACGACGGAAGGGATAAGATACATGTTTAGCCTTGAGAAAAGAGGACGGAAGGGATAAGACTGCACTCTTCAAATACTTGAAAGACTGTCCTACAGAGCAGGGGCAGGATGTATTCTCGATCATCTCTGAGTGCAGGACACATGAGAAGGGGCTCAAGTTACAGGAAGTCACATTTAGGCTGAATTTCAGGAAAAAAACTTCTTAACTGTTAGAGCAGTACGACGACGGAACCCATACCTCGAGAGGCGGTGAGTGCTCCAAAGCTGGAGGCCTTCAAGAGAAACTTAAGACAGCCACTTGGCAGATCTGCTTTGATTTGGATTCCTGCCTTGAGCAGGGGGTTGGACCGGATGGCCTTAGAGGCCCCTTCCAACTCCCATCATTCTACGATTCTACGTAAGGACGACAAAACTCAACAACCGTTTTTTTTCTGAGCGGCCACTTACTGGCATAGAAGTGGGGGATGCGGTGCTGCTGACCACGGTGGGTTTCAGGGAGGACGTCAGTAACTTGGCCACCCCTTGGGTCCCCCCGCTGGAGCTGACGTTCGGACCCCCGGGTGGAGCGACCAAGGTCAGCTTCTGAGAGACCAAAGTCTTCTTCACGGTGGGACTCGGCGACGAGCGGCTGGGGGCCTGTCCGGGAGAAGGAAGACATGCGCCGGGGAGCAAGCTGCCCGAGGATGGGCTCTGGTTGGTGGAAACGTTGGACGTAGAGCTGCTGGTTGAGCTGATGTGCCGGGACAGAGCTACGAAGGGTGACTTGAAGGACTGTCCCGCCGAGCCAGAGCTGCTGCCCACGTGTTTCCCCGTATAGCTCAGAGACAGGGAGGCAGAATTGGGAGTCTTGTGGGAGCTGCCTGGCCCTGGCGAAGGGGTCGAAGAAGGGGAAGAAGAAGAGGAGGAGGAAGAAGAATGGAAATTTGGGGTTTTGATGGGGGTCTTGACCTGCTGCTGCTGCTGTTGGAGGAGTGAACGTTGGGGGAGCGGAGAGATGGCCTTGGGATTCTGCAACTTGACAAAAGGAGGGGAAGGGGAAAAGCTTTTGGGCTGCTGAGCGCCCACAGGAAACACCTTGACCTGGGGGGCTTGAACCGGGCTCGCCGCCTGGGGCCCATGGACCACGCGGGTAAGACTGTGATGCCTCGGCTTCGCCGGGTGGGTCTCCAGGAGCTTGGCCGGGGGAGTCGGGCTGGGCAGTTCTTTGTAACCGGAGCCCTCGGCCTTTTTGTCCTGGGGGGGCTGGCCCAGGGCTAAGGCCTGTTCAGCCAAGAAGTTGAGCGGGGACTGCAGAGAGCCCCCGGCTGGAGATGGGGCAGGGGAGGGGCTGGGCTTGGGGAAGGCCCTCTTCTCTTCCAAGGGCGTTTGGGTCGGGGTCTTCTCCGACGGCGTCTTTGGGGCAACGGGAAGGGTGAAGTCGGGACCTGCCCCCGACTGGCTGTTCAGCACGGCCAACTCCTTGGAGACGGCTTCTAACGAGGTGGCGGCGTTGTGGATCAGGTCCTCGTCCAAAGAGTCATCCATGTGGAAGGGGAGGGGAGGGACTGCACTGGTAGGGACCGGGGTGGAGCTCATGGCCAAAAGTTCTCGGGTTTGAAGGCTGAGGCCGACAGGAACTCCCTGCAGCTCGGGAGACAGTGAAACGGCACCACTTGCGCGGACCAGCGGAGCAGCGAGTGAGACCTTCTTCTCCGGCTTGCTGAAGGGATCCTGGAAGACAGGACAAGGGAACAGGATCAGGCCACAGGGGCAAAATGATCACCCATCCGCTTATTTGTTTCAATTAAAAGACAATTAATAATCCAAAGGCCTGAAGGATAAACGGGCACTGGGAAGAGAATTCTGGCTTTGATTACAAGCAGGCGGCGGGATGGGGTGGGGAGCTATCCAGCTTCTAGCTTTTGTGATAGGCTTAAAATTTGGAATTTCAGGAACTATTGTGGGAGTAGTTTTCCACATAGTGTTTAACTAATAGAAACAAAAGAAACAAAAACTCAATTTCCTTCTTAGCATGATAGCCGGAAAACTTTTACTGAACCTTGTTGAAAGTTATTTCCTGGACATTCAGAGGCATATTACACTCTTTTATGGCTTTCAAGGCAAAACGTTAAGTGTGCTGTCTAATGGGGTGAAACTTTGCACAGCTACAGTTAACATTCAGGAAGGGTTGGGTTTTAGTAAATGTATAATTACTTTTAGTTAATTGCAGCAACTTTTAAAGAGGTGGGACACATTCTGTATGATTATGCCACTAGGAGATGATTAGCTAATTTATTTTTATGGTGACAGTAATACAGGTGCTTAGAATAATGTATTTTACACATTTATAGTTTGTATTGCTGATACCGGTCAATGACTGTCACATCTGGTGAGGGCACCATATAGGCAAATGGATAGAGCGCTACACAAATGAGAAGCCACTCCCCATATTCTCCTGTCCTCGTGCGGCGCATGCTGTTTTAAGACCCCAGATCTGTCTACTCACCTTCGTCTTCACCTTTGGTGGTGCCACGACTTTCTTCTTTGCTCTGCAGTGAGACACATGCAAGCTTGTTTTATTTCCATGTCCTGAAATCCCTGGTGTGTGTGTGTGTGAAACTGGTCAAGAATCACTAGTGGGGGTGGGGGGGGTGATACCACTGCAGAAAAACCCTCAGGGGCAAATCCCAGCGGTGCATGATGGGCAAACATTGGGAAAGAAAAAATAGGCAGCCACAGAAATACTTTAGGTACTGCATTTTGACTTCAGAATTCTTTGTAAGGAAGGAAAAGGAAGCCACTAAACCATTGTGACCTGGGAAAGCGGGTGGAGCCCAC